CTAAGTTTTTATCTCAGGAAAACACATATTTAACATTGTCCAGTTCCAGTCAGTAAGGAGCTCCTTCTCTGCCATGTGGAACGACAACCTAAAGGGCATGGAAAACCCCATGCAAAGCAAACTGCAATAAAGTACTCTTCACTAGCACAGTCCTAAATGATAATAAATTGAGCAGAAGTCCTGATTCCTGTTTACAGTGAGGCTCTTCTTCATTGCACAATTTAAATAAGTTATTAAGTTTAAATAAATTCTTTTATGCTCATTTTAATGTTCCTCTCCATGTGACTATGACACTCCAAGTGTTCATGACAAAAATGTAAAACAGGCCTCATATTCCTCCCCAAAACTCCATGTTTGCTTCTGGAAACTTACTACACAAGAGAAGTAATTTTTAGTATTAACTCCCACTTGCTCAAACACCTGTAGTTCAATGACCTAGAAGTAAACAGGTATCATACCAGCAAGTGCCAAGCAACTATACAGGCATTACATATGTAGATTATGCGAATAGATTCCATTAGGATGATTGTATTTTCACCAATAGCCCCACAGAGGTACTCAGCACTGCAGAATTTTTATCTTCTCAATATTTGTAAAAGAATTAAAGGACAAAAAAACCTCAAATTCTAACATTATATCACAGTAATGCTGTTTTTTGATATTCAGTTTAATGGCTTTTTTTCTCCCAAGTTAGCCAGAAAACACTTCTATTCAACTTTCAAGTTTGGCAGCCATGCCAGTCTTGCAAGTCCCAGAAGCAGTTTTAACAAAACATATGGGGATAAGCCCTTCCACTCACACTAACACCTCCACATATTAACCAAAGCACCAGATCTTAAGACAAGGAAATTGCTTTCCTGAAAACTGTCTGCCACCTAATAAGAAGTGCTTAGAAGATTTAAAAAAAGCAAAGAAAAAAAATCCAAAAGATAGTATTATGGTACCCTTACATACACAGTCAAATGGTGGGATTATGGTTTCTGCTTTGAGCTAATGATGTATACAGATACACAACACAGTCACTGCTTTTGGTGCTACAACAAGGACCAAAGGCAAAGAGGGAAGACAGTCAAAGCTGATGGATAAGCAAAGAGAAGATTCTTGAAGCACATGAAAATGCTGTTACTGTTGTGAATTCCAAGACGAGAGTTAACAGGTCAAACATCAATTGATTATTACTAGTTATAATTAACACTGTATAATCAATATGGTGCAACTAGATGGCACAACCCACATTTACTAGAACATCCCCTCAGGTCAGGGGGAGTCCTCAAGAATCCCTGCAGCAAAACAGGGAACACTTCACACTAACAGGGTAATATATACTTTGATGTGTCCTAGACAAAACTAACATTATAAACGTAGCTGTCAGCAATGACCATCACCCCAACATGGCAATCCATATCACAGAGCACCCTTGAAACTTCTTAAAAAATGAAGACAAA